ATTTTCATCAATATATGAAACTGTTCACTTCTGAGGATATTGTGTGTGAATGCACCCACATTAGTTGCTCTGCTTTGTCCCTGGACTTTCATGTGACTGAAATTGATCTTAAAGCAATCACCTCAGAGTTAGGAAGCAGTCTATAGGTTGTTCTGTCATGAACTTTTTTTTCAAAATTGAGGTGCCCTAGATAAAGATGTGTTATAATAACTCCTGATTATAATACATCTTTATTGAGTTAAAACTCTTTGATTTCTAATGACAGAGCAGTGATAGCTCTGAGGTGATTATGGTGAAGGGATTTAACAGTTGGAAGCCCTGAGTACCACCTGTCATCACATGATGGACTTAATTGGAGGGAACAGATATAAGACAGGAGGCCAAGATGGCTCAGACTATAATGCGAACCCCACTGACACATCCTCGGGTTGTCTGGAGAGAATATAGATCCTTACCAATTTGCCAACTCTTAGCCTGGAGCTAAAAAGCAAAAACCAATGCTCCTGCTCACTTCCCCCACCCACACCTTTATGTCTGAGAGAGAAGATGATTGACTTCACTGCATAAATATACATTGCTAGCAGAAAACTGTTTAGGGGCTCAGACTCAAGCTTGGCTTTTAGGTGAATCTGATTGGGGAAGCAGAGCTGGTGCAGATCAGTACACACCCTCTGAGGGAGGAAGCCCAAGAAGCCACCTTCAAAATGCCTTCAATGCAGACAATCCTAAACAATGAATTAACTTTGGCATCAAAAGGAACAGATGGGTTTATGTTTCTGAAATAAACATGTCATAGTAACAGAGAATACAAAAAATCCATCATTCTGATAAATAGCCAGTTTCCCCTTAAATATAGAAGTCAGAGAATCATTTTCATTTTGTTTATTGTTCTTACCCAGGTAATGAGGTTGTTCACAGGGTATCTCCTCTGTACTCCCCATTCCCTTCCCACCTGTGGATATCCAGTGTCTAGTCTGTGCTTTTCTTCCTTACAGCAGCCCCTGTGACCATGAGGGTTCTCATCATCACTGATGGATACCTCTCCTCTGTGGAGAGGGCAAATCTGTCTCTCCTATTCAATCTTGCCCTGCTCTCCCTGAGCAGGAACAGCATCAAGGATGTTCAGGAAGATGCCCTGTATGGCCTCACAAAGCTGCGGACATTGTTGCTGGAGCACAACCACATATCCAGTTCCTCCCTGGCAGATCATACCTTCAGCAAGCTCCGCCACCTACAGGTGCTGGTGTTGAGCAACAATGCTCTCCACAGCCTGAGAGGGGCCTGGTTCCGACACACCAGGGGCCTGACCCGACTCCAGCTGGATGGCAATCAGATCACTAATCTCACAGTTAGTTCTTTTGGAGGCACAAATCTCCACAGTCTCAGGCATCTGGATTTATCTAACAATTTAATTTCTTACATTGAGAAGGATGCCTTCCGGCCCCTGCCTCAACTACAGGAAGTGAACCTTTCCCAAAATAGGTTGGCCCACATGCCAGATGTTTTTACTCCACTGAAGCAGTTAAACCTTCTGAGCTTAGATAAGAACCAATGGAGCTGTACCTGTGATCTCCACCCCTTGGCCCACTTTCTAAGAAGCTACATTAAGTCCTCTGCTCACACACTCAGGAATGCCAAGGACCTAAACTGCCAGCCATCCCCCACAGCCATGGCCACTGTAAAGAGTGTGCTGAAGCTGTCTGAGACCAACTGCGATTCCAAGCCTCCCAACCTCACTCTGGTTCTAAAGGACAGACGTCCCCTCCTTCCAGGACAGGATGTGGCTCTGCTGACTCTCCTTGGCTTTGCAGGTATGCCAGGAAGAAGTGTGCCCTCAGCTTCTTTTTTCTCTTGTGAATATTCTTGAAGTACACTCAATGATGGCTTTCTCGGGGAACTGGGGTAATCTGATGGGATTGTGGAAAGAAGAGGTTGCCAGTGAACATGGAAAAATGCTGGCTGAGTTGGCATAAATTGCAAGAATTCCTGTTTCAGAGATGCTATCTAACAGAGGAAAGTACCCTGGAATTCAAGAGCTCTCAGTTTAAGTAGCATTATAATACTGAGAAAGTTAACTTGTTGTTTAGTTTTCAGTTTTCTTGTCTGTAATGCGGGAATAATAGCTGCATTCCATCATCCTCCATTTATCAATAAGTATAAGTACATGCCACTAGGAGACAGGGTTAGAAAACTGATGAGACAGACTGTTCACTCAAGGCCGTCACACTTGTGTGTCAAGTTATAGTGGTGTAGTAGTGGGCCTTTCCAGATTCACAAGAAGATGCTATTAGGATGATCACATACATCCTAGTCTACAGTGGGTTGTACAGTAGTGGTTTAGTGCATGAGTTCTGTAGTTCAATTACCCAGGTTTGAATTAAGAACAAGGGCTCTGTTCTTACAAGCTGTATGACTTGGGGGAAATTATCTGACTCTAAGTGACTTGGTTTTTCTCCTGTTTTAGGCTCTTCTAGGACTTCTGTTTATCCAACTCTTTCATAAACTTGGCTTATACCTTCCCAGTTCAAATGAGAAAGGATGATATCCAATTCTTGATTTTTTTAATAATTAAAATTTTATTTATGTATTGGCTATGTGTTACTGGATGAATGATATAAAGTGATGCTATTAGTCAAATATCAAATATGAATGAGATTTCTTGAGTTATTTAGCTCAATCTGTGAGTAACCACGATGATGATGATGATGTGTATGGGTGTGTGTGTGTGTGTGTGTGTATGTGTTGCTCCAAACTGGAAGACTAGATGCTAAAGGACTAGGACTAAATCAATGTATTTTGAATATGTGTTGTAAATAATTATTTGATAACGGGCTTCCAGTCTATTAATTGAACATCAAATTTTAAACTTCTAACATTACATTTTTCATCAGGATAGACAGCATCATTTCTTGACAATGAAACTTCCACCAGCAGTAATCAAACTTACCTGTAATGGAATCCAAGTCTTCCCAGAAAGATAAATTGTTTTAAAAAACCGTGTAACTATGTCAGTAATTATATGTGCTAAGAAATAATTTACCATAGATGACAAAAGTGATAGCACAGAAAATAGATTTTCTTTTTGTGATTCTTAGAATACAAGATCTAGGAGATATTTAGTAGATGTTCCAATAAAAACACACTTAAATGCACACAGAAAAGCCCTAAGTTATGGGGTTCCAATAGGTTTAGGAAATGCTAGGTTAAACAATGTGAAATAGCCTTATTTATTGCAGCAGTTCCCACAGCCTTTCTTTTGATAATGAACATTATGAATCTTTAAATGGAAGAAAAAAGGTGAAGCATTTCTCAAACTGATTTGATCATGAATTCTTTTTTTCTTACAGGATTTAATTGAATTAGTGTTTCATATAATGCTATTTTGGTGTATTAAAATAGTGTAATTTTCAGTATCCTTTACATTTATATTCAGAAATATATTTTACTAGGTTAACAGCTTTTTTATCAGTATAGAGAAGGATACAAGTTTTAGAAAATTCCAAATATTTTGTCAAAGTGACAGGAAATCTAATATACATGGATACATTCTGATAAATTATACACATGATGATTATGGACATATTGGTTTTAGTGTGTAAAATTATTATATGAATGTATTTTTCATTAATTAATTAATTAATATACTATTATTTTAAGGGATTCTTCTTTAAACAGATTCCTTTTTTTAAAATATCAATTTGCTTGACTAAGATTATTCTTCTTATGAAGTGAAATTGTGGTGAATTGTGTGTGCCTCTAGATTGTAGGAAAAAGACTAAGAACTATAATTTTGTCTATGATTGCACTTTCTTCTCTATCTGTAATTAAGCTGTGATAAGTCCAAGGAATATAAATAATCATATTCAGTGAATTTAAAACCAATCAGTAAATACTTAGCACCAAACACTAATATTCTGACATTTATTATTCTGTGACCTAGTAAATAAAAAATTTTCATGAAGCTATCATGTGTTTGCAATGGTTCCACAAGAAGTTATCATTAATTCTGCTACTTTTTTTTTGCCAACTCAGAATAATTGTTGGAATACTTTGAAAACATAAACAATGGCCAGGTGTGATGGTGCAGGCCTGTAATCCCAGTGACTCAGGAGGCTGAGGCAGAAACATCTCAAGTTCAAAGCCAGCTTCAGCAACTTAGCAAGATCCTGAGCAAATTAGGGACACTCTGTCTCAAAATGAAAAATAAAGAGGGCTGCAGATGTGGCTTAGTGGTTAAGTAAGGAATCAATCCCCAGGACCAAAATAATAATAATAGTAGTAGTGGTGGTGGTAGTAGTAGTAGTAGTAGTAGTAGTAGTAGTAGTAGTAGCAGCAGTAGTAGTAGTAATAGAAACAATGCCCTTGGCAATAAAAATTCAAATGTATTAGCACATTCAACCTGACTACAAGCTTCATGTGCAACTTTTGCTCTCTCACCAAGGAAAGTGACCACACCTGAGTGCCATGTCAACAGAAGGAGAATGAGTGGGTCTTTACCACTTAGGCACAATTAGAGAAGAAGGTTTCTCTTATAATCAGGCTATATTCACTTGTATGTTACTGGCTGATGCATGTCTTTAAGAAAACTTAGATCCATCTTTCCTGTATTATTTACTTTAATATTTACATCACACATTCAAAATATTTGATTGATTTAAGGGATGTTTTTCTGTTACCATTTTCTTGCAAGACCTAACACAGCAATGTAAAACCTAAGCAACAGCAGAAGGGTTAAGGTTTGGATCCTAAATGTCCTCTAAAGGCTCATATATTAAAGTCTTGATCACCAGCCTATAGCACTATGGGAGAGGGCAGAACCTTTAGGAGGTGGGGCCTTGTGGAAGGAAATTAGGTCATTGAATACATGTCTCTGAAGTGGGTACTGTGATCCCAGACCCTTCCTCTTGTTCTTTGCTTCCCTGCTGCAATGAGGTGAGCAGCTTCACTCCCCCACATGCTACTTGGCATGATGGTTGCCTTGATATAATTACAAAACAATAGTCAATTAATCATGAACTGAGACCTCTGCAAGTAAGAGCCAAAATAAACCTTTCCTCCTTATAATTTGATTTTTTTCAGGTATTTTGTCATAACAACAGTAAACTAACACAAGAGTAATCATAATCCCACAATTCAAACTTTACTGTATCGAAGTACTGATTAAACATATTATATATATATATATATATATATATATATATATATATATATATATATTATTTATTTAATCCTGGGTAGTATTATCCCCATTTAAGAGAGGAGGAAAACTAAGGCTCTCAGATACTAGAAAATACCCAAGAAAAGTGTCATAACAGCACTTTGAATTCTGAGTTTTCCATGTAAAAAATAAGGAATATGTTCACTTATTTTTAACATTAAAACCCAAATCAAATCTTTGTTTGGAATAATGCATACTCTAGGATGCAGCAATAAAATGGTTATGATCTAATTTTTGTTACCACTTTAAGAAAATATGAGAACTTTAAGATTAAATTATTTTAAGATATTATAGTCATTTTTGAGAGCACATTATAAAATAAGTTAAAATGGGTTTATAATATCTCTAGATCTGGTAAACTATACAATTATTGGAGTATTTCACTAGAAACTGTCATTTTCTCTCCTTAATCTTCATCTTTAACAGGAAAAAAAAAGGAAATGAAACAATCATGCCTAACACATTCCCTTTCCTTTCAAGTTCAAAATATCACATTAATATTGTCACCAATTGAGAGAACCAAGCATAGTACTGCCAATCAGTGAGCCTAGAATATTGTGATCATCTTATTCACTGTCCTTATTTCCTGAGGAGGAAACTTACTTGTCAAAATCACACAGCAGCAATAGGTAGACTGGGCTTCAAACACAGATTTTCTTAGTCCTACAGACATGATGTTTTGCTGATCACCATTTTGGGGATTTATGATTTGATCAGCCAGTGCTTTCATTATCAGAACTTATAAACAGAATTACTTCCATTTATTTAAGAATATTCTATCAAACTTCTAGAATACCTTTCTGACAGAGTTGTGAGCACTGAGGATAGAACGTTCATCAAGACTGAAATGTCTGTTTCCTGACAGTGCTTACTTCCAGCATGGGAGAACAGACATTGAACAGACAAATAAAGGAATGGAAACATTATTCTGTCATCAATTTTAAGAAACAAAGGAAATCACTGTGGTAGACGGGTAGACTTTGGCTTGAACTTTTAGGCGGTTGAGAGCGTCCTTTCTCAAGATGGGGCAAAGTAAAGAAGAAAAAGAGGTTAGTCTGTGTTTCAGTTAGCTTTTGCATCGCTGTGCTCAGAAGACCTGACAAAAACAGTTTTACAGGAGGAAATGTTTGCTTGGTGCTCATAGTTTTGCTCTGAGCCCAAGGTGAGGTAGAACATCATGGCAAAAGGGTGAGAAGGAAGAAAACAGCTCAGGTCATGGCAACCAGAAACCAGAGAAAGCTCTACTTACCAGGGACAAAATATAAACCTCAAAGGCACAAACCAGGTGACCTACCTACACCAGGTACACCCTACCTCCTGTTAGTTACCACATGTTAACCCATTTAAGAGGGTTGATGCACTGATTTGGTTAAGGTTCTTATAACCCAATCATTTCACCTATAAACATTCTTGCATTATCTCACACATGAGCTTTTGGGGGAATCTTCCCCCAAACTGTAACAGTCTACACCTGGGTTTGAGAAACATGGCCACTTACAATATTCCTCAGAGGACAAGTTATGCCTACAAAGCCCACAAATGACAGTACCCATCTATCGGAGATCAGATCTTATTCATTTTTCTATGGCAGTTCATAAAAGGGAGTGATCTTTGCAAGGTAGAAAAACCAGTAAAAGCACCAAGAAATCTGGAAGTACTGGTTTAAAGGATAAATAAAGTCCAAACAAGCAGAGATAGGAGAAGGTGTTATAAGCATCACTAAGAGAATATACAGAGGCTAAGAAGTATGTTTTAATTTTAATGAACTAAAGAATTTGCAATATAGTGTTTGAATGTGAGGAATAATGAAAAATAAGATTAGAAAGGGAGGCAATGACCAGATTGCATTGACTCTTAAGTGTCAGGGAAGTTTGGTCTTTTTGCTGATAGGAAGCCAAAGAGTTGGGGTGGTGGTGAATGTTCAGGATGATTAAAATATGGCAATAGTATATTACATCAATTTATCTTTTAGGAGGATGAGGTCAGGGTATATGAGATGTTTTAGAGGGCATATGATAATTTCAGCTTATTTTTATTAACTATGAAACTATCAAATAGGAAGTTGGGAATTAAATTGGTTTCCCACAGGCAGAAAAATAATTTTAATGCAAGAATTCTTCTATTTTGAATGAATTCTAGTCTGTTTAAAAGCTCTTGTTTTTTTTTTTTTTTACCAAAAAGATTCCAGATGGTGTTGTTATAATTTTTAATATATATATAAAGAAAAATCCAAACTGGAAAGCAGAACAATGTCAATTAAAATAGCCTCTGTTTGGCCTGATATTTCTCCAAATGGTGATGGACTTCCCACTCACTCTGATGCCCTTTAAGCCATTAACCTTTATATTTGTGGGTTTCACATTTGGTGATTTATATGTCTCTTCCTATGATGTTATCTTTTAATGTTCTCTCTATTTGTCACAGGAGCTGTTGGTCTCACTTGCCTAGGTTTAGTTGTATTTAACTGGAAACTCCAACAAGGCAAAGCAAATGAACACACATCAGAAAACCTTTGTTGCAGAACCTTGGATGAATCCCTGTGTGCTCATGAGTGCCACAGTCTGGCTGGACACAAATGCCACAGTCTGGCTGGGCACACAATCACGAGCCACCACACAGCTTGTAGATTCAAACAGCACCTCTTTATTCCCGAACTCACACGAGCCATCTACAATCACGTTCTGGGGAAATCCACGTTCTCTGCCCAAAATTTACCTCCACGTTCTCTGCCCAAATCCACCTCCACTGGGCTTCTGTCTCCCAAATATACTGTCTGAATCCCGTGAGAACTCAAGGGGAACTCAGGCAGCAGGATACGCCCTATTCCCAGCAGGAATAATCTTAAACCTTAAACCTGGAACTTAAACTGGGAACGCCCTAAACCCAATTATGTTAAACCGGGAACACCCTAATCTGCCTTGGTCCTTGAGCAAGGTCACCTACATTCAATGTCACTGCAACATGTCAGCAACATGGGGTACGCTGGCAAGGAAATTGTCATACCTACTTGGCTAATGGCTCCCAGCACATGAGGCAAGAAATTACCACGCTAAGGGATACTGTAACTGCCACTTAACTCAGGAAAACGAGATAAAGGTCATGTCCATTGTGGGGTCCAGAAAGGAAATGCCACTTTTACAGGAAAACAGCCATCAAGCAACATTGGCCTCTGAGTCCACAGCCCCTGACGGATCATTTAGAAACTTGAAAGGGAAGGACCATGAGGCAGACAGCACTTTCTTTTGCCTGGATAGCAGATTGCTGCAGACAGGATATTCAGATCCTCCTGGGAATAGGGCAGTTTTTAATGATGCAGGCTTAGTTACAAGATATTGTCCAAAAAGAGTTGAAAAGCTAAGGAATCCTGAGCCTGGAGAAGTCCAATCTCAAACCCTGCCACAGCATGTAACAAGAACAATAGGTGAGTTTGTCTTGTTTTAAGAAAATCCCACTCTGTTTAATTCCCTCTGGAGAGAAACTCTTTTGATTTCCTCAACAGGAAAATGCTATAAAAATCACTGTTTATTCCTCTTCTAAAGATCTGAAGCTACTGTGAACGTGTGTGTTTGTGTGTGTGTTTGGGGTGAGGTGCACCCCACTCTCAGAAGTTAAGTGGGCATCTCTTGTCTACTGGAAGTGAATTTTGAGACCCACACGCTTAACAATGTTTACCCAAAAAAAGAAAGAAAGATAAAAATAGAAAGAGGGAAAATAAGAAATAGCAAAAAAAGAACTATTTTAAATAGCAATGGTGCTATTCAGATTTATGGGACAGTGACTGTTAGCTTTCATTCCAATATCCTCTGAGCTCTAATGTCAATTCTGCAGTAAGCAACCTTCCCAGAGCATGACATGTTAGAAGAATGGGCCTTCTAATGCTAGTGATTCATTTCAGGAATGATGTCAAGAAACATACTTTGCTTGCTGAGCTGTCAAGGATGATAACTTCCCAGTTCAGAGAAAGTCAGGACTTAATTCATTGTCCCATGCTGGGAGCCAAGTGAATCTGGCCATGACATCTACCCACTGTACATGGGCGATGTCAATATTTAGGTGGTGGCAATGAATTAAATGTCTTCCTTTTTCTTCCTGAATAGTAAGACGATATTTTTCCGGCTCTGCAGATAAAACTTTGACAGCTGCTCTGTAAAGAGATTCCTGTCACTTATTTGAATTAGTTTACAACAGAGTTTTTTCTCAGAATATGAATGACAGAGGTGCTGTATCAACAAATTTGTACCACCAGGATCTGGCCCTAAGAATGGATTTGGGGACAACTGGATAAGGATGAAACCGTATATTATTTCCTATGTGGCACAAGGCAGGATGTGAGTTCATCTGACTGCATTCCTCATGCTCCATTTCTTGCCAGTTCTGGGGGCTGATGATTTGACTCAAGAGAGAGATGGCCAAGGAAGGAAACATCTGCCACAGAAACCAGAGAAGACTGGTTTATTTTATAAAGAAATAAGCACTTAGCCTTTCAATAGAATCATACCTTAGGCAGATGTTCCACTTTAACTTTAAAATGCCTTCAACTTCTCTGTGGAAAACTTCTATACTGAAGAAAATGTGGGTTCGTAACTATTTAGAATCCTGGGCCTTGTTTTACACAGAAGACATTGGTTTGCCAGGTTATTAAAACTACTGAAATTCTGCTTCATGCCAGGGATTGTATTGGAGCTATGAAGGCCTGGTAGCTGAGGAGAAGATAGCCAAGGCTATATTTGCTCCAGAATAAAAGACAGTGAGGAGAGAGTGATGTTATGTTTATGCCTAGTAACTTGGGAAAGCAGAATTATAGACTTTCATGGGTAGGGGGAAATCTAGAGATGATCAAGTCTAAGTGTTCTTATTATTTATCTTTGATTTCCAGAACTCTCTGAGAATCTGATAAAGAAAACGATGTATTTCTCAGTATAATTCATATATGTGCATAACAATTCCACCTGCTCTATTCTTCTAAAACCCAGAGAGTAAGTAGTTTTTCTAAGGCCACCCACAAAGTTGATGGCAGATCTTAGATTATAATTGGATACTCATTTGGGCTTAGTCAATATACTAGTTAGCTTTCATCTCTGTGACCAAAATACCTGAGAAGAACAACTTAGAGAAGGAAAAGTTTATTTTGACCTCAGAGTTTCAAAGGTCTCAGCTTCTGGTTGGCCAACTCCATTGCTCCAAGGTGAGGCAAAGCATCCTGGCCAAAGGGCTCAGTAGAGGTAAGTTGCTCAGCTCACTGTGGCAGGAGGCAGAAAGAAGGGAAGAGGCCCCAGGGAAGATGAGCTTTTTCAAGGTATGTTCCCAGTGACCCACCTACTTGAGCCATGCCCCACCTGCCTACAGTTTCCACCCAGTATAGATGTTCTTTCAAATTACTAAAACATTAACTGATCAATCTACTGATTAGGTTATTAGGTTATGGCTTTCATAATCTAATCATTGAACCTCTAAATATGTCTGCATTAACACAAGAGCTTTTAGAGGATACTTTATATCCAAATTATAACAATTCACTTCTTTCTTTTTGTCATTGAATACAAATACTTTCTTCTTTCTTTACATAGACCATTTCACAAAATAGGAGAAAGCACACCAATAAGATATGACTTGAAATTCAATACTCATTATGGGTAAGAGGAAAGAATTTAGTGTCAGACAGATGTGGGTTCAAGCCCTCGCCATATCACTTAGCTCATGAATGACTGGGGGAAAACATCATCCTCTCCAAACATGCTTCTTTGTCTATAAATATTATAAGGTAATAGGAGATTTTCAAGGACTCATAACTCTTGTAAAATATCAAATGAGATACATACCAAATGCATATAGAATAGCACATTGCCTAGCTTTTAGTGTATGCTCAATTAACTATATTAATATGTACTTAATATTATTTAATATTAATTTTACCTATACCATTAAAAGTCCCAGGCAGAGACTGAGGTAACATGAACCAGGTCATAATTCAAAATTCTTATCTATTTAACAAATATTTAATGAATATTGAATTAAGTTATTGAGCCAACAAGCATTTCCCTTTTTGTTGTCTAGGCTATTTTCTTTTTGATCTCTGAACATAACCATGTTCTTTCTAATGTTTGAGTTTCAAAAAAGAAATGAATGCAGAAAAAATTACTATGCCATTTGAAAAGGATTCAGATATTATTCATATTTAAAGCAAACCTAACCAACAACTAAAGATGTACAACTATGGATAATATTTCTATTTCTATTTCTACAACTTCTAAATCAGCCTCACACTGACTGAAATGTGGCCATAAAGAATGCCATTGTACATTATACACAATTATACACATTATACACAATGGAGTATTACTCTGCATTAAAAAATGACAAAATCATAGAATTTACAGGGAAATGGATGGCATTAGAGCAGATTATGCTAAGTGAAGCTAGCCAATCCCTAAAAAACAAATGCCAAATGTCTTCTTTGATATAAGGAGAGTAACTAAGAACAG